ATTGATTTTTATAAGATTACTAAAAAACAGCACAATTGTTTATAATGAAACTACTATATATATACGGTAAACTCATAACACCTCTCAGCAATAACTTCACAAAATTATTTTAAGAAATACACAAAAATAAAAATACAATGACACATTCAAAAATACGAGTAGATGAGCACTGCAAAATATATATAAAAAAACGTAGCACAACTCTAGGCTTGAGTTAGTGACGTTTTGACGAAAAAAGCTGAAGGGTAGGGAGTTTGTTAACTTTTATCAGGTAGTCAGGGATAATCTAGAACTTACTTTAATTAAAAATGAATCACTCTAGAAAACATTTAATTTTTGGATAAATATTTCCTAGAATTGCTAATTGTCCCACTGTGTGCTCCTCCCACCCACCTCCAAACCACTACAGAGGATAGCGAGTGAAGCGAGCGCGCCTGGCCGACGTGCCTTTTTTCCACCCGCATTATAATATCACGATACGCTCCTCCCACCCACCTCCTAACCAGCACATAAAACTTTAGTTTAAAATTTAATGTTTTTTTCTTTATCCGTTTTTGAGTTTTCTTCAGAATTCAAAATTTACATATTTTCTCAAATATCTCGAATACGGTTCATTTTAGAGAAATTAAGTATAAAATAAAAATTATAGAGAATTATATTACAAACAACTCTTATTTAAATAATTTTAATAAAAAAATATTTTTTTACATTTTGTCAAATTTCTCGAATACGGACCATTTTAGAAAAATTTTGTATAAAACAAAAATTATAGATAATAATATTGGAAGTAACTTTTATTTAAAGCATTTTCTTCTCCAAACGTAAATAAGAGATATATTCCATAAAATATAAAAATGACCACCTATAAAGTACCTCCCAGATGTTCAGACTCTGCCCAAAATCTTGTCAGTTTATTGGAAGATAGAATAAAGCTTAAGTTTAAAATTTGGTGTTTTTCTGTGTATCGGTTCATGAGTTATGGTATATACAGATACACGCACAGACACACACACACACACACACACACACACACACACACACACACACACACACACACACACACACACACACACACACACACACACACACACACACACACACACACACACACACACACACACACACACACACACACACACACACACACACACACACACACACACACACACACACACACACACACACACACACACACACACACACACACACACACACACACACACACACACACACACACACACACACACACACACACACACACACACACACACACACACACACACACACACACACACACACACACACACACACACACACACACACACACACACACACACACACACACACACACACACACACACACACACACACACACACACACACACACACACACACACACACACACACACACACACACACACACACACACACACACACACACACACACACACACACACACACACACACACACACACACACACACACACACACACACACACACACACACACACACACACACACACACACACACACACACACACACACACACACACACACACACACACACACACACACACACACACACACACACACACACACACACACACACACACACACACACACACACACACACACACACACACACACACACACACACACACACACACACACACACACACACACACACACACACACACACACACACACACACACACACACACACACACACACACACACACACACACACACACACATACACACACACACACACACACACACACACACACACACACACGCGCATAGACGCACACAGACACAACCACACACACAACCACACACACAACCACACACACAACCACACACACAACCACACACACAGAGACATCATCGCGAAAATAGTCGAAACGGATTCAGGGGACCTCAAAACATAAAAATCCTTCGAAAACTCGAGGTCGAAAAAAATGTTGATTCCTATACTTTCCTTATATCTGTATACAGATAGGAAAGTAAAAACTTAATTTAGCACTATATTTAAATAATAAATTACAAATTAGTAAAGAAAAATCTTACAAATTAGTAAAGAAAAATCTTTAAAGTAAATTATCTCAAAATGGGTGATTTGGAGATGTTACACTTTTGAACTGGGGCAGCGTATGCCTAGTATATGCTATATTTAAATACTTAGCCTATACATAGAACGTACTATCAAATGAAAGTAAATACTTATTGCATACAGTACACATATTAATAATAATAATACTCTCTCTAATTCAGCCCCTTACAAGTGAATTTTTACCCCAAAAGCTGACCTTGTGCGGGGAAAGGGACGGCTATTATTATTATTGGCTGTGGCGCTCCGGGGCGACTTAAAGATGATTGATGGTGCCATTTGACTTACAAGTAAGGAAAACCCGGAAAACCTCACCCACCATCATAAAACCTCACCCACCATCATAAAAACTCATCCACTATCATAAAACCTCACCCACCATCATAAAACCTCACCCACCATCATGAAACCTCACCCATCATCATCATATTTGAATTACATTCTCAATATATGCATAGCACGTATAAACAACGTCCCGTATATTCTGAGAATGTACTGAATGCAAATAAAGTATATTCTCAGTAGGTATATCCATATTCTTAAAAAGTATATACTAAGAATATGCTAAGAATGTATAATTGGTATCTGAGAAAGAAACGTTTCCGGAATCATTTTTCATAAGATCGTTTTAAATGGTACAATAGTATTATAAATGTTACATGTCTTCCGATATATAACATTGTTCCCTACATGTACTTAAACCATTACATCATCTATAAAGAACCTGCTATATAACAAAAACCTATAACATGTAAGCTACTTTTTTATGTAACACGATATATAACTGATACATATATGTTATATGTTTGTATTTGCTGGGCACATATCTAATTTATAACTTACCGATGCCCATTTTGTCGAATTCACACTTTATTTACAGAAAAACATTACATCCTTAACCATTTTTTTCACAAGTCCTTTCATACGAGTTTTAAATGAGCATTTTGTGATTTTATACGAGTATTCAATTAGAAAAGTGTAAATAAGAGCACTTTACTCGAGTGAATTCTTGATTTCCCTCGTATAGAAGCATTTATTTTAAAATTTATTTAATTTAGTATTTAATTTTAGAAAAAGCACCAAATATTATTAAAAATTCATTTTATTAAGGGTCTCCCTGTATATATAATTTATATTTCTGTAAATTGTAAATATGCATAATAATAAATTTTCCTCTGAATTCAAGACAATTTTTAAGATATGGCAACTTTCGCTACTTTTGCTCCATCAGACACCTGTAACTTGAACTAAAATTCAATATAGACCCAGCAAAATTTCTAATTTTACATAAAATCGTAATTTGTGCACAGTTTAAAAAGTTTGCAACATTGATTATTAAAATTTGGCAAGAATATTTAAAAAAATATGTAAAATGCTGTAAAGTTTTAATCTGCAACTATTACTTTTTTATTTTGTAATAGTATTTAATAATTAGCTGGACAAATGAAAATGTCTCATTGCAATCATTAAACATTTGACTATAAGCTGCCAAAGTTTTACTTAAATCCATCCAGTGAAAGATAAGTTTTGTAAATAATTGTAAACCTCTGTTTTGACCATGTAAAATACACTGAAATGGCTGCCTTAAGGGTCGAATTTTACAAAAATCTCATCTAGGATATTACTTAATGAATATTTCCTTCAAATTTGAAGTAACCGGTTTTATGCTGCACTATTAAGCACATTATTTAAGAAAATTGATACTTTTTCATTCTTCATAAACTCATAATTAAATGCCGATAAAAAACATATATGAAAGTGAAAAATGTCACAAAATACATTTAAAAAAATTGCCGATGACGACATCACCATAATGTGTATCACCCTTTATAATGAAATTTTCTTGTAAAGTGTAGAAAATTAAAATTAAAAATCGACGTGTTTCAGATTATTTTAAAAAAGCTTTTAGTTTAGAAAATATCGAATTTATTCCATACTTTACGGACACGCTGTATACAATATACATAAGTAATAAAACATGATACAGCTCTATTCCTAATTTCATGTTTTATATAGTAATATATGTATTAAATTTATAATTCCTTAATTGATGCAATACTCCTTTTTCTGATCACGCAATAACATTATATCCAACAAACTTAACACATGAAATTCAGTTTATTAAAATAGTAAAAGCCAAAAATTTATCATGAATAGTTCAGATCGGGAAAATAGAAAAAAGATAGGAGATAAATTTCTTTTAAACTGTTTTTACCATCTTGGTTCTTTGACGCTAGTTTTTCCATGGGATCCAAAAAATGGAAAAATTTTCTACCAATTGATTATAACAATAAGTTTCTTTTTGGCGTTATGTATAGCTGCATATTTACTTGTGAAAAAATACACAGGAAATGATGAAGATGTTATAATTTTGGTCGCATTGGATTCATTAGCTTATATACTTCTTCATTTAATTAGTATATATGATTTAGTAAAAAAAAGAAAAATTTTAAAAACTCTTTATGTACTACTTGACAATTTAGACCAAATTATGAATATCAGCAATTTATATACATCAAAGAATAAAATATTCTGGCATTTAACAATATGGTTATTTTATTGTATATTATTTATAATACTGACAAGTTTAAAATACTTGAGCAATAGAACATTTCTAGAAGCATTTATTGCGTTTTACTTGTCAATGGTGTTAATGCATTTGTCAGCCGCAGTCGGATATTTATTAGAAATTTCACTAGTTCTGAAAAAGAGAGTAGAAATATTTTGTGAATTAACCAATTTACTAACTTTATGTAAAAATCCTTACCGAAGAAAATACGAGGTAATACATCGAATTAGGATGTTAAAATCTGTATACGAACATTTTAGTTCAATAATATCTAAGTTGAATTCTATTTTTGGGAAGAAACTTTTAATTTTTATAATTCTGATGTTTATAGCGATTTTGGATACAGTTAATTATATTTTATACTTGCATTATGATGCTCAATTTCAAGTTGCAGTTCAAGAATTTTTGGCTCTACTTACGTTAATGGTAAGCTTTTATAAATTAGAAATTTTGTAAGAGTTACTTGTGACGCCTTAGACTCGGCAAACCAAATTATTTTGTGTGATTTACTCCTCAACCTTTGGATAGGGCATCAGAATGGCTCGGGTAGCACTAGATGGATACATGGAATACTCCAGGGGTCAAAGGTCTTTAAGCAGGTAAAAATTAAATGATATAAAAATTGGTGTTTTACAAGACCTTGGAGTAAATTATTTAGTAAGCATCAGACGAAAAAGTTTATTGATTTAGGTTCTTCTTTATATATTACAATTAGATATTTATTTTTTAAGGTCTATAATAATGGGAATAATGGACGCTTCTCGAGCTAATAAAAATTAGTGATTTATAAGACCTTGGATCAACTTTTTACTTTCCTATCTGTATACAGATAAGGAAAGTATTCGCTCCGTGCGAAGTCATGGAAAGGAAAGCAAAAGCGATACTAGCGCTAGCTGCGGATAATTCGTGCATTTTAGGGCGATATGTTGTAATTTTGGCATATCAAATACACGTATACATTTTACTTTTTCAAAAAGTATGTAAAAACAATACAACAAGCAACTGGAGTTGCTGTGTTGAAAATTATTGTACAAATACTAGCATAAAAAACGGTGAAACTTATATAAAAAAATTCAGTTGCAAAGTGGAAATTAATTTAATGAAATAAATTGATAGGTGTACAATAAGATGAAAAATTACCTTTATTTTTGTAATATTAACAGTAATGCTGGAAATATTGGACATCAGAAACTTAAAAGGTTTTAAATAAACAAGAAATTATCATTTTACGATGATCTTTAATATCCCTTTATTCTTAAATGTTCATTTAGCAAGGACTAGATTTCAAGATTTCTGCCTTTGATTATTATATGTGGCTGGAATGCAATTTTGTGACTTACTGATGGAAAACCAGTTTTAATCCTTTTTTTATACATTTTAAATTCACGCTATTATTAAATGGTATTTTTTTATTTTGACAGAATAGGCTAATTCTTCAATGACAACTTAGACTTAGGCAACTTCTCAAACATTTTCCAGTAAAAAACTGTTGCCTGTCTATATTTTAATATTGATTATACATAATTTTCTTTAATTTAAGCGATAAAAATATATAATAATAATAAAAAATTAATATTTTACTTGTTTTACAAATCCATACACTTTTATTAAAACTAACATACAGTGAGCATCATAAGTCTTACCCCCCCTAACTAACTCGTTACTGGAGTCTTGTTAGGAAAATCGCTGAGACATGTCGATTTTTGATTTCTACAATGTTCCTACATTTTTATGTGAACAGTTTACCATTAATTTCATCCCTTACTATAAGGGGAGCAACCCTTTCGAAAAATTTAAATAGCATGGGGTGGTAAGGGGGTTTTATTCTCTATTCAACCGTGCAAATTTTAAAATTTGCCTAATTTCGTGTTGATTTATTAATGTTTAAAAATATCAAAACATCACAAATAGGAAAGCAACTGAACTAACAGTGACCTTATCTAATGGCAAAAAGTCTTACTTCACGTCTGAACCAAAACCGATATCACGCAGGGCCGAATTTTAATTCTAAGAATGAGTGCGCTACGTTAATTTCCGTTATTCTAAAACAATAATTAATCGAGAGTTAATAAAGCAAATTTAAAAATTTTTTGTACGGTTGAGTATAGAATAAAACCCCCTTTCAAATGAGCTATTACTTTAACAAATTAAGGTGTACTTTTATACCAAATATCAAAAAAATGTACAGCGTGTTTCAAAAGGTATGAGCCAAGAAAGAAATAGGTAAAATTGATTGATTGTATTTCGGTTATAAAGGACGACAGACCCATGAAGTATGGGTTTTTTGGAACCACCTAGGTGACCTCCATATGCAGTTAAGATATGCTCATTTACCAATGAAACACTCTGTATACAGAGAAAAAAAATTGACAGAAACAAGTCTTGATATATAAGCAAGTAGTTCAGATTTCATCGATTCCTCTGACATTGCATTTGCTCGTATCTGGTGTAAATTACAACCAGATCATCTACATTTTCATTTACTTTTGGTTTTTTTTTGGTTGTAATAAAAAATGCTATTGATATAGTAAAAATTACAAACAATAAATACGGCTTTTCTAAAAAACAGTCGCACGTTGAGTGGTTAATTCTGCCTTTGTAGTTTAAAAACAGAGTACAGTTACTTAAAAAGACACTAAAAATTACCAATTTGCTTTTTACATTAAAAAAAAAGAATGTTATTAATGTTCTTGATCTAATATTTGTTAGGGCTCCTACATATAAATATTTTTTCTAATATTTTCCTTTTGTTGTAGATATTAACTATCGTCATAACAATATCAGGAGATATTATCGAAAATTCTGGATACAAAATAATCAAACTATTGCACGTTTTGCAACTAACTGTCGAAGACGAATTTCTGAAGCAGAAGTTAGGTGAATTGTCTGTTCTGGTTGTAGAACTTAGGCCATCTTTATCAGTTTGTGGATATTTCGATGTAAACAGAAGGCTGCTACCAATGTTACTGTCCAGTTTTACGGCTTATGTTATCATATTGATTCAGTTAAAGCAATAACTGTTTATATTATACCTTACTCTACACAAGATAAAATAAAATAAGAATATACCATAAGAGTTTCGGTTGATTATATCTTACAGTTTCTCTTCGATCATATAAACATGAGATAAAATCATCTTAGATAATATTTTCTGTCGACAACATGAAACTGGAATAATCTGTGAATACTGATAGAATCCTAACCTGATTTCGTCAGAAGATTTGATATTGCAGCATCTATATTGGTGTTGTTCGGAAGTAAGATTGGCTGCAACATAGCATTAATGTCTGTTTTTATAAGCTATAGATATCTATAGATAAAAAATAAATATTAGAAATGCAAGAGAAAAAGGGTGTAAAAACTGGACCAAAATTGACAGAATTTAGCTTTTTAGACATTTAGTAATAGCGTAACAGGTGCTTTTTGCTTTATAAAAGACAGTATAAAATTTAGATCTCTTTAAAATGTTCACTGCCAATTTTGTAAAATTTTGTAATAATATATTTGAAGTATTTTATGTACAGATATTGCATTTTAAATACTCATATACGTTAAATTTTATTTAAAATTATTTAGATATATCTAAGCTATATTATAATGTATATTGTAATGGAAAATAACTCAATAAAAAATATTGAATTATATATTGGAAAAAATTAAATGAAATATTATATAAATATTAATACGTACCTAAGTAATATTGTTCTTAGTGTCAATTGTATTTAAGTGAACATCCTGTATGGTCTGTAGTTAATTTTTTTAAGATCCTCTGAATTACATATAATAAAAATGAAAATTATTTAACTAATTAAATAAGGTTTACAAAGTAAAATTTAATAAACACAATAAATGAATTAGGAAAAAAGAGCGTGTAATATATTTTCAATTTATTTTGAAGCACAACAACAACAACAACAACAACAACAACAACAACAACAACAACAACAATAACAACAACAACAACAACACTAAAATGTCCTTCATAAAAAATGATAAAAAGAAACAACCCTGGGTACAGTAAAATTTATGCAGAAACTTAGGGACAAAGCTTACAATAGATACAAAAAAATGAAAGTCTGAAACTCACTGGGAGCATTACAAACATTTATGTAACTTAACATCTGCTGCTACTAAACGAGAAAAAAAGCATACTTTGATTTAAAACTTAATAACTCTATCGCTAAAGAAAAGTGGGAAGAAATGAAAAAAATTAACATTAATAACATAAATATTTGTGTTATTCCGGATGTCCTCAAAAAAGGAAATGAATATAATATTTTTTTAATTAATTAAGCGAGAGGTCACCGTATACCAGACAATTACCTAATGGTACTATAACGATAATATTAAAGCTAACATCTGCAGAAAATTTAACTTTACTAACACCAATGATCATGAGGTTCTAAATATTTTTAAAACTATAAATACTAAAGCATGCCACCTTGATAATTTAAATATACAAATCATCATACTTTGTTGCCCAACAATTATACCTTATTTAGTCCATATTTTTAATAAATGCATAGATCATTGCTACTTTCCTCATATTTGGAAAAAGGCTTATGTGGTACCCCTACCAAAAATCTCAAAGCCATTAGAGTTTAGTCACTTAAGGAGTATAAGTATTCTTCCTACGTTTTCTAAAGTACTTGATAAAATATTAGAAAGTCAAATAAGAAGTCATCTTGATACTGCTAGAATATTACCATTAAACCAATCAGGCTTTAGAAGCGGTTCTACAGCGGTTCTACAGAGGTTCTACAGCGGTTCTACAGCAGGTGTACATCGATTCTACAGCGGTTCTACAGTGGTTCTACTCCCGTGCCTTTGACACTTTTAATAATGCTTGCTTGCAATTTTACAATACTTCCATGTTTTAATACTATTGCCATTAATTTAGTGAACTTATTTCTTTCAGACAGAGAACAAAAGGTAAAAATCGAAAATGATTTTTCGAAGAGTTTGCAAATGTTGTAGAGTGTACCACAGGGAAGTATTTTAGTCCCTCTGCTATACACCATGTACACTTCTAACTTACATACCTATGTGTCTCACTGTAATTACCATTTCTACGCAGGTGGTACACAATTGTATTATTCGTTTCCTTTATCTGACATTAACTTGGCACAAATACAAATTAATAAAGATTTATCAACAATAGAGTCATTATCAGAGATACACCTATTAAAAATGAACGCAAAAAATCTTGCGCCATTTTTTTTGGATACAAAAAATATAGGTTGCTGGCTATATATAGAATAACTACAGATTAATATAGGACTACTGTTTGACTGTAAACTTCATTTTGATAAACACATAATACAAAAAATAAAAACAGCTTATGCTTCACTAAGATTAATTTATCCCCATCGATCGATTTTAAATTTTCAAACAATAAAAACGTTAACGAATTGATTAGTTCTTTTACAATTTACTCATTGTGACACTGTTTATGGTCCTTTCCTCAGAAAATGGGATGTATACCGTATTCAAAAAGTTAAAAATTCTTGCTTACGATTAATTTATGGCATTCGGAAAACAAATAGAATTTCTCATAAACTGAAGGAAATAGGTTGGCTAAGTATGTATAACCGTAGAAAGCTTCACTCCAATTGCTTTTTTTATAAAATTTTAAAAACGAAAAGTCCCCCGTACTTGTACAATGAAACTAAATTTAGAACGGACATTCATAATTTGGACTGAGGCACAAAAAATCAAATTGCTATTCCTCCTCACAACAAAGAGTTATATAACACGGAAAAAAATGTGACTAGAAAATTTTACTACAATGTTGTAGTAGTAGACTTGTAGAAAAATACTTAACTTTTTGTAGAAAATTTTACTACAATTTATAGTTAAAAACTATTCATTATTGTAGCAATTGAAGTGTCGAATAAAATACTACAATAATAGGAAAGAAGTCCACAATGTTTAGTATATTTTACTATTGTTTGTAGAAGTAGAAATTTATTACAATTATCGTAATTACTACTACTAACTTCTGTAAATATTTGTACAAATATTAATAATTATCTCTACAAAAAATAGTAATTTTCTCTACAAAAAATAGTAATACTTTACATCCCTTCTTATGAAAAAAATTCAATTTTGTTCAAAAATATTCTATAATATTGTAGAAATTCTAAGTCATGTGAATAAAACAGAATTCTGCTATTGTCCAACGTTTTCTGACGTCGATCATAAATGGCCAGACAGCAGTAGACGTTCGCCATGTCATTGTATAAAGAACTATAGTAGGATAATCGCCATGTAAAAGTTATTGGAGGCAATCGCGCCCGCCATCTATTGGTACAATCATTGAACTAACGATTTTATTTACTGGTTAGATACGCCCTCTACGTCAGATGTTAGAACTTTATAAGTGACAATTCCGTAAAATTAATTGTCAGTATATATTTTTTTAATTATTTAGATTAAATATAAATAAAAATTAGTGATTCTTGCAAAGAATCAATAAATAATAGCATTCCACAAGATATTCGTCTATATTTAGAAATAAACTGAGATTTTAATGAAACTAAAAGCAGTCTGATTATCAGCGTTAAAAAGTAAAACTTTTTCATAAGTCTTCATAACGAAAATTTAGAGTACTTGTCTACGAATCGAAGGGTTCTGAGTTCAAACCCCCGAGTGGACACATTTTTTTTATTATTTAATTCTATTTTCTAAATTGGTAAAACAAATTAATTTCAAAAAATAAATTTTACGTTAATAATCAAATTATAATAGAATATTATAAGGTCAGGTAATTTTATTTAAATCTTTTGACAATGAAACTAAAAACGTGTTTTTGTCACAGGGCCCGATGTAGAGAGTTGTCCCGGGGCCCGACCTGGCTCTCGGCGGCCCTGCCGAATATAACAAGTATTTAAATTTTGCTAATAAATTTGTATTAGGTATGTGTTAAAAGAAAATACATTATTTTGGATTTGAATATACAGTGTGTCGCAAAATGTCTGCACCAAGAAAACGCACAAAATTACATTTTTGTTTAATCTACGTAAAAAAGTGCGAATTAAAATTTTTTTACTACAAATTTATGGTACCTAACAGGGTTATTCATTATAAATTACCCTCCCTTTATGCTATAATTATTATTGTATAATGTTTACATTGACCGAATTTTGTAAAAATGTCATCAAATGACCATATAAGTGGTGTGCATATTTCACAGGATTTAACATGAATATTTTTTAATAAGGATAGCATAGATATATATTTTATTCAATTTTCGAAATGATCTTTATTCTTTCCTGATTAATTAAACGTCGAATATCATAGATAATCTATGTCGAATATCTTATAAATATTTACACTTTTTCTTTCTCACTGTAAACTACCTATTTGGATTATTTTATTATCAAACATAATAGTTGTGATTTTCATAGCTTTTACTTTAATAATGTTAACTTTTTCATGTTTATATTATCAACGTTAAATTACTCGAGAACAGACGGTATAAGATAGGGTTATCAATAATATACATTTGTGAAATTAGAAAAAAAATATCCCAGAAATTTAATAACATAGAGGGTATCCCATTTAAAAAAGTTTATTTGTGTTGTATTCTGTGAAATCTGAATACGTGTTTTTATGGTATATTTAAAAAAAGTCAGTCATATTCACAAACTTTTATTTAAAGCTTTTTTTGAATATGCAATAGTGGTTATAAAAGGTGTCTTTAATAGTGAATAATCTTGTACATGATCTCAAATAAATTTGTTGAAATTAATTTCATTTGTAAAAATGCCACTTCCGCTTCTCCCGTATTGCTAAAAAAAAATTATGTCCAGGTCCAGGATTTGATGGTGGATAATATTAATTCTAGATAAATTTTTCAAGTAACATTGTTCTCCTGTTTTTAGAAATAAAGGTTAATGTTTAGCCACATTCATATATTTTTTTTGGACACACAGTATGTTTGTATAATATTAAAAACTTCCCCTACTAAATATTTTGGCTCAATCAAAGTAGATATCTTAAATTGATTATTGTT